GTGGCTTCCTCTAGGAGAGAGGGGGGTGGTGTCTGTACCCAAAACCTGAGGGAGAGGGGGCCTTCTGTATGTGCCTGTAGCGAGGTAAGTTTGTGCTGCACTTCATCCTTCCTCAGCCAAGGGGCAGCTCCTCTCCCCAGGGCTGTCGGCCTGGCAAGAGACTTTGTCCCGGGGAGCTGGCCTCTGCTCCTGGCATCCCAGCCTTACCTTGAGGTTTCAGGCCTTTGCTCAGGAGTTAGGTGCGCTGTTTCACATGGGGCTCTGGTGATGGCTGGGGAACAGAGGAGCTTCTGTTTCTGTAAGCCATGCAGCGAGAACAGAGACTGTGATGTTCGCCCTCCCTGGCAGCCGCCTTGTTCCTGTCCTAGCTGCAGGGATTGCCTTGGGCAAGGCCAGACTCTGCCCTCAGGCCCTCCACAACCCCTCTTCCCCCTCCCCCCCCTGGTCCTGCCTTGGGCGAAGCAGGGTTGTGCCCTCAGCCTCCCCACTCTGTTCCTTGCAGTGTTCTGGACAGACGGGGCATCTTGCAGCAGGTGGAGAGTGGTGCGCAGGGGGAGAGCAGCACTCGGGGGCCCAGCACTCAGGAGCCCAGCGTGCCGGAGAAGAGCAGCACTCAGGAGCCCAGTGCTGCTCAGGTGCTTGGTGCGCAGGTAGTGGGCAGCGTTCAGGAGGGCAGCAGCAGTCCCACACGTCAAAGTGCAGTAAGTGACCCTCTTTCTCCATGCGGCGAGATGCCCTGCACTCCTCTCCTGCTGGTGATGGTAGCCATAAGCTCCAGTTCTAGCCAGGAGGAAGAAAGGGGCTGAGAACAACCTTCAGTAGGGGGAGTGAGGCAACTGTTCTTAGAGTAAACCTAGGTCCTGAGCTGAGGGACCTCCTGGAAGGAGTCTTTCTGCAGAGATGATGCTGGCAGCGGGGGTGTCTGTGATGGGAGGAGAGCAGGGTGGCTAAAAAGAAGCTTCCAAGCAGCCGGGCTCCTTTGCACACTCTTATGGCACCCTGAAGGCAGGTGTGGTCAGCTGGGGGCTGTTATCCTGGGAATCGCACCCTGCAAGTGTTGGCACTGGGCACTCACTGCAGTAGGAGGAAGCCATGGTGTAGTGAGCAGGGGGCCCAGAAGCCTGGACCCTGGCCTGATTTATCACTCGTTCTGGAGCCTTTTTTCCTCCCCACATTTCCATCTCTGGGTGAGGGTGTTATGGCAGCACCTGCTTCTGCAGGGCAACTGTATCTGTTGGAAGCCTGAGTAATCCACTCGTTCCCAGTTCCCTGGGCCCCTTTCCTCCTCTCTAACCCGGCTCCTCCACTTGCCTTGCAGCAGCACTCGGTGGTGCCAAACCTGAACTGGGAGTGTAACCTCACGAGAGAGAACAGTGGCTGAGGGGGCTGCTGGGCTCGTTGGAAGGACGGGGGTAGGCAGGGGCAATTAGTTAGTTCCCTCTTCCACTCTTCACCCGGCCCCTCTAACCTTGGCCTGCAGGTGAAGAAAGGCAAACAGGAGCCTGAAGCCATTGTTGGCCATGGGGGAAGCAGCAGGGAGAGAGAAGGGTGTTGAAGCTACAGGACAATGTTGGGGCAGGAACAAGTAGGGACAAACTGTCCATGAACAAACTGAGTTTAATGAGCAGAGGAAGGAGGCTCTGGAACAGCCTCTTAGTCAGAGCAGTGGGGCGAACAGCCCAGCTAGTTTTACAACGGAGCTTGATCAGTCGAACAGGATTATATGACAGGGTGGCCTGCAATAGCTGGGTCTGAACTGATTGATGCAGGAGGGCCCTTCCTGTCCTTCGTTCCCATCCCTGCTGTTGCCTGTAGTTTTGGAGGGAAAGACACACTGTGGGTTTGGGAGTGTCTGCTCCATCCCATTACTCTCTCTCCTCTTCCCAGGTCCCCATGCTGCCGCTGAGCCCCACTGGGATGCCGGAGGAGACTCAGCCTTCTGCTGTGGAGCTCCCAGCACAGCCCCGGGATGATGGGCCAACCGAGCACTAACCTCCTTTCAAGCAGAGAACATTGTTCTGTCCAATCAATGCCAGAAGTGATTACCAGGCGGAGAAGGCCGGCTGGCTGGCAGGCGAGCAGACCACCCCTCACTGAGGGGAGCAGATGGGCTGGCTGGCAGGTGATTCTTCATGGCCATTTTGCTTTAGTCTTTATTCACCTCGATTGTGGACAGGAGTGTGCCTGGCCCAGGTAATTGCCAATGGATTCTAAGAGCGAGCAGAGCATGTCAGTCATTGGTACAGACCTTTACCCTTGCAGCTGGTCTCGGTACAGGCTGAGGTAGGACTTCTTGCTCTGCAGTTGGTCCTTAGTGCTAAATGCTAGCCTGGCCGTGGTCCTCTCTTTCTGCCTAGCAGTCGTCTCTGACATTGGCAGCTGCCCTGCAGTGGAGCGGCAGGATTGAGGAATCATGATGGGAAGGTGACTGTGACCGTGGCAGTGTTTGTCTCTCTCCCTCCCCCTTCTCCCTCCATCTGTGGCATTATTTTATTGTTTAAGGTGGTGGGGTGGCCAGGAAATACTGTCTTGTGTGCCAAGAGGGCCAGAAACACCTGGGCAGGCATTCCACCTGGGGATGGTTTTCTGTAGCTTCCTTCCCAAACTTCCCCGTTAGTGACTAGCAGGCATTAGAGGTCCTTGATCAGTCATGGAGTGGGCAGCCTCCTTTTCCCTTTGAGGAGTGCACCTTTCACTGCAGGAGTGTGTGGGGAGAGCAATGCCAGGTGCAGAGCTCGCTACTCTCTTGACCCTGCATCAGCTGCAGAGCAGTTGCACCAGGGAATCGTGAGGGAAGAGCCCTCTTGGGTCATGCAGTCTGTTCCTGGGGCCAGGGCAGGATTTGTTCCCTAGTGCCTTGTCGACTCCTGTGTTTGCTGCCCCAAGCAATGGGGCTTCCACCCCTTCCCTGGGGAGGCTGTGCCCCCATTGAAGTAAATGATAAAAAGCTCTTTCCCGCTCTCTGCCCCGGTTGGCTCTGAACTCCCTTTGTCAGGGGTGCCTAGGCCTTGCTGCAGTATTCCAGGGCCCCTACGTGCTTTTCCACCTGCAGCAGCTCTGGCTGCGAGGGGTTCCACCAGCTGGGGCAGGGGATGGGCGGGCCGTTCACAGGGGCTGTTGCCTTGGGAGAAGGCACTCTTTGGAGCCTGACTCCTTGCTCCTCCTGTCTGCATGAGCCGGGCTCCCAGTCTTAGCTCAAAGGCTGCTTTGAGCCAGCTCAGCCATCTCCTTTGTGCCATCTTCCCTCCCCATCTCCCACCAAGAGATGTTGAGTGGGGCTAAAAGGAGGAGCCCGTCTGTGGCAACCCCATGCGCTTCCTGGGGAGGGGTGTCCCCTGCCTGCCTGTCTGTTGGAATTCCCAGTCTCTACCTAGGGGGAATGCCTGATTCTGCTCAAGAGGGCACTCTGATTCCCCTCCATTTGTGGTATGTCCTAGGGTGAGACCCTGGTGTGGAGGGAAGAAGGAATTGGGGTTACTAAGGTGTCTGACCTGCTTCTCCTCCAAGCTTGAGGCAGGAGCCCCACATTTACTGGCCTGTTAGTAACTAGTTCTCAGAACTGTGTCTCAGCTGGCATTGGAGGTGATCCTAGCATGTGAGACCTGCACTGTGCCCTGTCTCCCAGCACTCCTCTTACAGCAGGTCTGTGCTGAGAGTCCTGAAAGGCAGTGCTCTGCAGAGTAGCAGGGGAGGTTGGAGCTGCCCTACCTCTCTGGCTCGAGGGCAGCACTGTTGAGATCTGGGAGCAGGGTCCTTCCTGTTACTCCCTTGGCTGTGGGGCCTGGCCTCTTGTCCCCTTAAAGCTCCCGCTCTATGCTGGCTTGATGCAAGTGGGATGGCCAGAGGCATTCCCACTCTTCCCCTCCCCCCCATCTCTACAATTGAGCACAGTTCAAAATTGCTGCCTCCTTTAGCTCCAGCTGGAGTGTGTTGTCCCCTGGAGAACTGTCCCCTCTTCCCCTGCTGGAAGAGCACAGAGGAGGAGCCTTGAGTCTGGCTGGCCCCTCTGAGATCACCGACCCTGTGCCTGGTTCTGGGCTCTCCACACCCCTCCCCCTGGAAGACTTAGTCCTGTGGGTGGGACTTGTCCTTGCTGCATAGGCTCAGCTCTCTGCCACTCCAGTGGTGCTCCACTCCCTGCCCATGCTAGAGCCCTCTGCCTGCTGGGGACTGTGTTGGAGGCTACAGCCAAACTCTTCCACCTGCCCCCAACATGCTACCGACCAAATCTCAAAGTTGTTGCAAAAAATGTATTTTTGTTTTTACTAATCTATTTTCTAATGTATTGTGTCAAACTCTGCCCACTGGGGGGGGGAGGCCCCCTCTGGTGCCTCTTGCACCGTGGCTCCTTTTCTGATCCGTTAAGTTTCTCAATGAAGGAAGTTTTTTTGTGTTTTGGATTTTTTAAACAAATGAAGGAATCCTAATCAGTTTGAAAGCCTCTGAGATGTGGTCTCTTCCTGTGTATGTCTGTCTGTCAACTCTCTTTCCTGAGGCATCCCTTACTCCGGAAAACCAGAGGGGCTGGGCCCTGTTTGTAAAGAACCATATTTTCAGATTTTACTCTGTGTGTGTTAATGTCACTGGGGCAGCTCAGGACCCTTGTGGGGAGCCCTTGGCAATACCTGGCTGAAGAGAAAGTCAGATGGTTGGGCTGAGCTTGTGGGGTGGGGTTGAGAATGATCTTGTGCTAGCTGCACATGTGGGATTGTGGAGGAGAAAATGGAGCAGATTTAAAAAAAAACCGTTCTGAAGAGAGTAAGAACAAAGGCTCCTGGACCTGTTGTAGAAGTGGGGAGCCCTTTTGCCAAGAAAAACTTACATGCTGGAGGGTGGGAGGAAGGCAGCATCCTCTCCACCTGGGGTCTGTCATCCAACTGGCTGAAGCCCAAGGAAAAATGGCCTTGTACTAACCTCCCCCTGAGAGAGGGGAGATCCCCAGGTTCCCGAGCCCTTTCGCTAAGCCTGTGGTGCAGGCAGGAGGCCGACATACAGAGTTGCAGGTTAGATCATGTTTTATTGGGGTCAAGCACAAGCAAGTGAATTCAACACCCAAACCTACATTACTGCAACAGAAAGGCAGAGATTTTACAGGCACAGGAGTCCTGGAATTCAGGGCTAAGCTTGCCACAGACACAGGGCCAAAGGTGACTGCTGTAAGCAGATACATCTCCCATCAGCATTAGTGGGTGTTGTAGCCCTTTACTCCAGGACTGGAATTGGCCCATTACCCAGTCACTAAGCATATTCTGTGGGTAACAGCATATGGGTGCAGCTCCAGTGCAAGACGATTTCCTGGCCTTTTAACATAAGCTAACCGAAGAACTCTTGGTGCAGTGCCATTGTGCCAAAGCTGGCCCAGCCCTTTTGCCCTGGAACAAGCCCCAACTAGAACCCAACCTGCTAGCTTTCTAAAGCCAGGTGGGCTCTTGCTACTCTTAACGCAGCACCCTCTTGCCTCTGTCGGCTGCTTCCATAATCTATGTGCCCCAACCAGGATTTGGTTCCAGCATTTCTGCTGCCCCAAGCAAAAAAAAAAAAAAGCCGAGATCGGCGGCAGCAGTTCAGCGGCAGGTCCTTCGCTCCTAGAGTGAGTGAGGGACCTGCTGCCCCCAAATTGCCGCAAGTGCCGCCCCTCTCCCTTGGCTGCCCCAAGCACCTGCTTATTAAGCTGGTGCCTGGAGCCGGCCCTGGCCCCAACGCTGCAGTGTTAGTCTGTCAGGGACAGCCCTGAGCAGGGGTCTGAGCTCTGTAGGGAAGACATGAATTCTTGTTGGGGACGCCCCTGTTCTCTTTTGCACAGGGGGCTCTTGCTGCTCAGTCTCCGGGCCCATAACTGCTCAAGGATCGTTTCAAACAAACCAACTCAGTATCGGCTTCCTCTGGGCACACTGGGTGTGTGCCTTCCCAAGGCAGCTGTTCTGATGCACAGCACCTGCTGCAAAGTGAGGACTCTGCCCACACGAAGGCAGAATGGACTGACACTGGGGAATGCTGTGAGCACAATGCAGGGCCTTTCTGACACAGAGTGCTGCCTTTCCTTCCACCTTCCCAAACAAGTTGCCGCTGGCCTGAGCCAGGTTGGCCCCAGTGGGCGTGGCAGGATGGAGCGATGGCTTGGTCAGTTGCTGCAGTGAGCTGGCCCAGGACTTTGGCAGGGGGGAGCTGCTGCAGCCTGGCCGTATTTCTAGTAACTCAATGTTCTGTGATAAGGAGCAGCAAAGCCCCTGGAACCAAACCCTCTGCTTTTTGGCCAAGCTGGTCCCCACATGGCTAGGCTCTGCCCCGCAAGGGACTCGCCCCATGCTGAGAAATGCCAGCTTGGGAGGCTACAGACTCCTGCTCTCAGCGCTTACTGAGTCTTGAGTGGTGAGGATCCTGTGTGGCACCCATCGCCCTGTTCTGCTGCCTTTCCCCCCTCCACCACCCCCAGACTTGCGTTAGAAACACAACGGTCTCAGTTCTTGTTTGGTGCCCGGCTCCCTTGCCTTGTTAGCAACAGATCCTAGGTTACCTGTAGCCTCCATCGCAAAGAGCCTCTGATGCTTGAAAGCTTCAGCTGCAAGTGGGCATCTCCCATTGCACAGCCCTCTTGGCTAAACTGCTTGGCTTTGCATTGCCCAGGAGCTTCCTGGATCCTTCCTATTCAAAGGGTGTCCTGCTGACTGAGGCCTCGGCCATTTGGTAAGGCCAGGCAGAGGGTGTGGGCAGATGACGGTGGGTGCCAGGCAGAGGGGCAGGCAAACACCCGTTCGTGGCTAATGCACAGGCTCTGAGACTGGAGTTTCTAATGGAGAGGCTGGAGGATGAAGGCTGAGCTATTTGCAGAAGCAGGTCCTTTGTCTTTGACAGGAGCGCAGAGAGGGGTCCTGTGCAGTTCCCAAAGGGGAGAGGTATCCTGGGGTGGGGACCTCGGCAGCTGCCCCGTGGAACCATAAAACAGCCCCAGCGTCTTCCCCTGCAGGGCTCACGTGACTGTCCCGAGCAGGGGGTGGTCACCTGTGGTCCAGGAATCTCCCCAGATGTTGGTCAGGGGGTAGAGAGTGCCCTTGGGGTGTCCTGTCCTCCCTGCTCTGCAGGCTAAGTCCCTGAGGTGGGGTAGTGCTGGGAAGGAGGGGGCAAGCTCAGAAGGACTCTTCTAGAGAGAAGGCCTGAAGTTGCTCCTTTGTGCTGTTCAGCTCTGCCTCGTCCCGGCCGCTCTCCAGTGTCTCAGATCCTTCGAAGCAGCCCGAGTCGCGGGGAATGTCCCCTTTGGGGTCTGAGGGGGAAGGTTGCAGCTCCGAACTCTCTCCTTCCTCAGCCTCACTGGCCGCTGCATGGGGGAGAGAAGCCAAAGTGTTAGAGGCTGGAGGGCATGGGCTGCTTCCCAGGGAGCTCTCAGCAGGGCCCAGCTTGCCCTTGGCTGGGCCAAGCTGGGGGTGGGAGGGTGAGGCTGCTCCCTGCATGCTCAGGGGCTGTGCAGAGGCATTCTGGGTAACTAAATGTGACTTGCTCTAAGTCTAGCCAGCTGCACTGGGTGAGGCCCCTTGGCTTATTCTGTCACCTGTGCTGCTTCTCCCCCAGAGGCACAGAGCAGCTTGCAGCTGGGATGTCTCCTGGTGGCTCACCCTTGCTTGACACTGGGGTGGCTCCTTGGCAGAGCAGTTGCCATGTGGGATGTAATTTGAATACTGGCTGTGATAAAGTGCAGGACACTCCTGGCTCTGGCTGCCAGCTGGGGCTGTGTAGGGGAAGTCTGTCCTAGTGGCTAAGAGTCAGTGGATACAGCGCACCTGCAGGCTCCTCTGCTTCCCATGCCTTTGAATGGTGGATGTCTGCCCAAAGCAGCAGGTGGATTCCAGGGAAGGGCCAGACCTGGCTTGGAGCTTACAGGCTGTTTTAGAGCAACTGCCCGCAGGGGAGGGGTCTCTGGGTGCAGGAAGGTAGCAGAGCAGGTGTCTGCCTCTTACTGTCATAGTCCAGCAGCAGGTCAGCAGCTGTGAGCAACTTGGCACGATGCTGGGGGTCCATGATGTTTAGCTCATTCAGGTGGGTCTCCCGCAGCTCCTTGAAGTCCTCCAGTGTCTGGTAGCCATTCAGTAGCAAGGTGGAGATGTGCTCCTGGGGACAGAGATAATCAAACTCACACAACAGCTACGCCTGTAGAACGTGTATCCCTGGGGACACTCATCTAGCCTTTGTATGCCTCTGCTGAGAGCTTCACCCCGGGCAGGCTAGGGCTCCAGGATCTTGGCTTTCATTTAAAAACCCTGTTCCTAGCACATGGGGTTGCAGAAATCCCCATGCAAAGAGGAATAGTGTGACCACTGCAGTGAGTGGGTACTGAATGGCCCTCTTACTCCAGGGGCTGATGCTGGTTTTATCATGGCCTTTCACCCTTGTTAGTATTATCTATTTCATTGCCAATTTGATTAACAGGAACATTTGTAGGTTCCAGGGCCAGAGGGGCCCATTGTGATCATCTAGTCTGCCTTCCTGTACAGCACAGACCAGAGAACTGCTCCAGGATAATTCCTAGGGCAGATCTTTTAGAAAAACATCAAGTCTTGATTTTAAAATGCTCAGTGATGGAGAATCCACAATGACCCTTGGTAAATTGTTCCAATGGTTAATTACTCTCACTTAAAATTTATGCCTTATTTCTAGCTTGAATTTGTTTAGCTTCAACTTCCAGCCATTGGATTGTGTCAGATCTTTCTCTGCAAGACTTAAGAGTCCGTTATTAAAGATTTGCTCCCCATGTAGGTACTCAGACTGGGATCAAGTCACCCCTTAACTTTCTCTTTGTTAAGCTAAACAGATTGAGCTCTCTGAGTCTGTTTCTAAGGCAGGTTTTCTAAGCTTTTAGGGTATGTCTACACTGCAATAAAATATCCCATGGCACTGAATCCCAGAGCCTGGCTCAATTGACTCAGGTGTATGGCTAAAAATAGCAGAGTAGACTTGTGGGGGAGGCATCTACATTGCTCTTTTTAGCCCCACAGCTCCTTGGCCAGGCTCTGAGACATGGTGCCATGGGTCTTTTAGTGCAGTGTAGCTATATCCAGTGTCATTCTCGTGGCTCTTCTCTAAACCTTCTCCAGTTTTCCAACATCCTTCCTGAACTGTGGACACTAAAACTGGAGACAGGATTCTAGCAGTGGTCACACCAGTGCCAAATACAGAGGAAAAATCACCTCTCTGCACCTACTTGAGATTCCCTGTTCATACATCCCAGGATCACATTAGCTCCTTTGGCCACAGCATCATCATGGGAGCTTGTGTTTAGCTGATTAGCCAACACAACCCCAAATCTCCTTCAGAGTCCCTGCTTCCCAGGCCAGAGTCCCCCATCCTGTAAGTATGGCCGGCACTCTCTGTTCCCAGATGAATACAACATGTATTGTTTGCTTGTGCCCAGTTTACCAAGCAATCCAGGTCACTCTGAATCAATGACCTGTCCTCTTCATTATTTACTACTACCCCTATTTTGGTGTCGTCTGCAAACTTTTTGAGTGATTTTTATACTTTTTTCCATGTCATTGATAAAAGGGTCAGATAGGAAAAATACCTGTTTACAGTTACATTTTGAGGCCTATCAGTTAGCCAGTTTTTAATCCATTTAATGTGTGCCATGTTAATTTGATATCATTCTAGGGTTGTTTTTTTTAAATCAAAATGTGCAGTACCAAGTCAAATCCCTTACAGAAGTCTCTTACATCAACATTATTATCTTGATCAACAAACTTGTAATCTCATCAAAAAAAGATCTGTTTTCCATAAAGCCATGTTGATTTGCATTAATTACATTACCCTACTTTAAATTTCTATTAATCAAGTTCTGTATCAGCCACTCCATTATCTGGGTGGGATCAATGTCAGGCTGACAGGCCTATAATTACCCAGATCATTCCATTTTCCCTTTTTAAAAATTGGCACATTAGTTTTCTTCCAGTCTTCTAGAACTTCCCCAGTGCTCTAAGACTTACTACAATCAACATTAACACCCAGCTAGCCCCTCAGCCAGTTCTTTTAAAACTCTTGGATGCAAGTTATCTGTACGTACAGATTTAAAAATGTCTGACTTTAATAGTTTCTGTTTAACATCCTCCGCAGATACTAGGGGAATGGAAAGAGTGCTATTGTTACCACATGATGAGGCTATATCATTATTTATCCTCAGATACTGAAACCTTCTGCCTTTTATACATTATTATTGATAATTCTACCATTTCCATCTAGTATGAACCAATACTATTATTAGGATTCTTTTTGTTCCTAATATATTTGAAAAACTCCTTATTGTCCTTAATTCTGAAGGCAATTTATTTCTCCTTGTGTCCCTTTGCTTCCCTTATCAGTTTTCTACAATTTCTAACTTATTATTTAAATTCATTTCTATCAACTTCCCCTTTCTTCCATTAGTTATATATTATAGATCAAGCTGATGTGTTTATTCCACAATCCCAACTGCCATGCATTTTTTCTCAGATGCCAGAATTTCCAGCTGTCCCTGCCTGGCTGCCAAAACCTCCTAGCAGTTTCTACTGCATTGTTACTCACTATCAGTCTAATCTCTGATGGCACCTTGAGATGAAAATGTGAGGGCAGGTGAAAACTGAATTTAATCTAAACACTAAATTAACTACCTAATCAATTAATGCAGAGGTGAGGCTCCCTAGTGCTGCCTTGTACCCCCCAAAGTATATACCAAGAATGGTTAAACTGAAACCTCTATAAAACAGCAAATGAAGAGTTAAGGTAACACAAACTTAAACCTCTGAAAATCAGGAAATACAAACTTAAAGGTATGCCCCCCGCAGGCCACCTTAACTCTGCCCCCTGGAGCTGGCAATAGCCACTGGGAAGGGTTCAGTAAGGGGTGTGTGTGATGATAATGAGGAATGAATGATTAAGTGGACATGCCATAGTTTGTTTTGTGGTCTATAGATGAGAATTGCAGCATTTTGATGCCATGTACTGCAGCCGCATTCCCTGCGTTTGGTGTGGCTGCACTGAATGGTGCAGGGATCAGATGGAGCAGGTTGGCAGAACTGTTGCTGATATGAGAGATGAGCGAGGCTGGGGCTGGTGTCGGTATCGCTGCTCCCTCAAGCCCTGCCTCCCTTCCTGGGCACGGCTGGCATCCCCATTCACCCCCCCACGTTCCTGCGCACCTCGCTTTTGCCAAAAAAGTCAGGATGGCTGGGACAGGGCTTAAGAAAGGGACTGTCCTGGCCAAAACAGGACATATGGTCACCCTACTGCTGGTGCCTGTGTGCAGGTTGCCTGTCCTCCCCTTCCCCAGAGCCCGCGGCCAGGCTCTCACCTCTAGGTTTATGCGCTCCAGCAGCTCGTGTAAGGTCTTGGGCTTGGGCCGCTTGCTCTTGCTCTGCACACGGCTCTTGCGGGCTGGCACCGGCTCCTCGGGGATGATGTCCACATAGATGAACTTGAAGGAGCCCACTCTGTTGTTTAGCATCCCCGTCCAGGTGCCCACGGGGGGCTTCTCTATGATCCTGATGATGTCCCCTTTCTGGGCCAAACATGAAGAGGAATCCCTTTGAGAATCTCTACCCCTGGGCAGGTGGGACGGGGCTGGGCTTGTCCCACCTGTGCTGTGGTTGCTGGGTCTGTGCCCATGGGCTCCCCTAGCAGCGGCACAGGTAGGAGCTGGGTGGGGGCCTGGCCCCCCGCAGTACCGCTGACATGCTGTGGGGGGCAAAGGCGCTGGCATTTGTTCCCTGGAGCCCGCCTGCGGCTGTGAGCCCAGGGAGGGTTCCCACAGTTGGGGGTAGGTGTCATCCTCTCTCCTACCCCTGCAGTGAGGAAGGTGAAGGCCGGGACTGCCTCTGCCAGACTTTTTTGCCCCACATTTTCCCTATTGGCATCACTGGTCAGCTCCTCTGGTGCCAGATGGGGCTCAGCCAGGTGCTGGTGTTTTAGTACAGTGCCAGCCAGCTGCTCGGGCGTGGGAGCGCCAGGGGAGACCCGACTTGCTAAGCCAGTGGGAGCACACAGCAGAGATTGAGGCAGAAGAGCTGGACCGAGGCCCGGTATCCGTGGGTGGAAGGTGGCTCTAAGCATCCTCTCTGCCTCTGGGAGTGAGAGACTGGTTTGAGGCTGCTTGCCCTGATGCCAAGGCTGCAGCATTCCCAAGAGCCCATGTAGCACCCTGGCCTAGCCTGGGGAAGGCTGTCCTAGTGGTTAGAGCACTAGCTTAGGAACTGGGAGCCCCTGGTTCAATTCCCTGCTCTGCCACAGAGGCCCCATAGGACCTTGGACAGGCCCATTAGTCCCTCTGGGCCTTGATCCCCCATGTACGTTGGGACTACGGCCCTGCTGCTTGGAAGGTGGGAGGAGAAACCCATGCGATCCAGTTGCACGATGCTCAGGTGCTGTGATGAGGGGGGGCAGAGTAAGGTCTGCCCCTGACCCAGCCCCCTCCCCCCTTCTCCTGGGAGGACGGGGAAGAGGCTAGGGTCATTTCAGCAGCTCTGTGGTGCTCTGGGACTGTGCCCCTGGGGAGCCAGCTGTTCTCCGACTCTGTTGTGCTGCAGGATTGACTATAGGGCTGGGTGCTAGCTCGGCTACAAGGCTGAGCTTTCTATGGCCTGTTAGCCAATGGTGGTGGCTGGCGGGGGCAGCAGAGCCAGCACCAGAGCTAACTTCCCAGCAGCGGAGCTCTGTGCTGCCCAGGGAGTTGCCAGGAGGGGCCTATCATCAGGGCCGGCTCTGGCTTTTTTGCCACCCCAGGCAAAAAAGCCACCCGCCGTCCTGTCGTCAAACCCATCACCCCCCCCCCCCCCCGCCGCGAGGCAGGGGAGGGCGCTGAGCCTGACCATGGGCCCGCAATCCCCGACCGGGCCGAAGCGCCGGGGGGAGGGCGGCGAGTCCGCCGCGGCTCCGCTCTCCCCGGCGGCCAGAGCGCCGGGAGCAGGGCGGAGAGCCC